CGCGGGCCTGGGGGACGGCGCTGGAGCGGGGCCGGGGAGCCTCGGCGAGGGGCCAGGCCTCGCGGGGCCGCGGGGAGGGAAGGCGCAGCCTGCCAGCAGGGGCTTCGCGGGGACCCCCCCTTGGTTGAGCGGCTGCCGCCTCCTAGTCTAAGATGCGCAAGAGCCCAAAGGCCCGTTGTGGGAGGGAGAACCTCGGGAAGCGCAGGAAAGAAAAACGGCACAAAGTACTTACTCACCGAACCCCCATTAAATTAGCACCTGTGGCTTCTCCATGGAGACCCAGGGCCAGCGTCAGCCTCCTGGAGGCCCCTTTCCCCCTTAGCCGAAGGTAGTCTCGCTTTCCTGCTACCACACAAAGGAAAATCAAAGAGACTTCTGTCAAACGTAGAACTGCGCTTTAAAAACACCTCTAGCAACAGGCTGCTGCGTTGGTCGGAAAACCGAGAAACAACGTAACAGAGATGAACGTAAAGACTTGTGCGTAAATTGGGGAGTGGAAAGTGGGCTTAATCATAGATCTTCTCAAAAAGACTGGGGCTAGCGCTCTACAGGACCGTAAGGGCAAGATATGGCTCCTGTGGTTTTGTGCAGATTTCAGCCTGAGTTAATAGAAATATGGTTTGGAGGTGGGAGGAGGAGGTAGAGATTCTCCATATTGACCAGGCTGTGTCGGGATGCTGTTTTCAGTGACGGACGTCACGTTTTGAGAGGAGCACTAATAGGCTTGAGCAGCATCTGAAGAAGGGGCACAGATGATAAGGCCCCCACACCGTGCTGGCCACTCTGGGGGCTACAAAGCCGGGGAAATACGCAGGCCCAGGAGGCCAGTAAAGGCTGTGGTGTGCATACATTGTGTCAGCTTTTCCATCGTGGAGACAAGATACTGACACCCGCAGTTCATTTTTTTTATTTTTTTCCTGTACCGGGAATTGAACTCACAACCTCGCGCTTGACAGGCAGGCGCTGTGCCGCTGAGCTAAACCCCCAGCCGACCCCTGCAGTTTAAAGGAAGAGTCATTTAACCATGGCACTTGTTTCAGCCGTCCCACCCACCGTAGGCTGGCTCTAGGGCAGAAACAGCAGGATGCACAGGCGTGGCGGGTCCGAGCTGCTGTCTGTGCAGAAAGCAAGAGTTTAGGGGAAGAGTGCCAGGGAGAGATACACCCTCGAAACTGGTTGTGGTGGGCACACCTCGAATCCCAGCTCTCAGGAGACTGAGGCAAGATCAGGGTTTCAAGGTCAGCCTGGACTACATAGCAAAACCTTGTCTCAACACCACCCCCACCCACCCCCTCCGCCAGTACAAGAAAAATGAAAGATTCACTTAAAGACACTCCTGTACTGACCAACCTCCTACCAGCACGTTTGGGTATGTATGAACATCTGCACTCATGAGTACTGTACCCCCGTGACCCACTCACCTCTCCAGGAGCCTCAGTCCAGTCACACTAGCAATAAAGATGAGCTGGCACATGTACAATATGCAGTACTACAAGGTCAAAAGAGAAGGGAGAGCAAAGAAAGCAATTACTGCTAGTCGTGGTGGCATGTGCCTATTATCCCAGCACTCAGGAGGCTGAAGCAGGAGGATTGCAGCGAGTTTCATGCCAGTCTAGGCTACATAGTGAGTTCAAGGCCAACTTGAACTACACAGTGAGACCCTACCTCAGAAAAAAAATAATAATAATAATTATGGTTGGCTCATATCACATCAGCACTTTATATACATGAATTCACCTGTGTCCACAAAGTACAAAGTGGCTCTGAGTACAAGTCAACCACTTTGGCAACAGGATTACCGAAATAGGGGACAGAGATTAAACTCAACTCCAAATACAGCAAAGACAGCTGGGGATTTATGACCAATGAGCAGGCAGCGGGCCGTATATAGGAATTTACTAGGGAAACATCAAGAACAGAGGGATTCTTGTTAAACAGATCTACAGGATTCTTGTTAAAGGCAGACCAAAGATTTACATGTACACCTAAGATTGGAAAGGAGGAACTTGATCAGATAGCAAGAGTGATCTAAGGTCAGGGAGGAGTTTCCTCACTAAGCTGATACAGCAGAATTTTCGCAAATTGAACAAGGCAGATCTAAACCAAGGGTACAGGGAACCCAGGCCAAGGGCTGGAAAATGGGTCAGAGAAGCCTGACTAGTTTGATCAAGGAGTCTTTGTCAGTTCTAAACTAGGATGTGCTACATGCTTCAGTAGTGGGGGAAACCAGCTATGTTGGATTTTGCAGAAAACCATATGTGCTGTATGTTATGGGTAAATCTGGAGATTTTCAAAAGCAATTTTACCACCCCACTTCCTGGGGATTGGAACCTGGGCCCTAGGTAGGCGAGGCAAGTGCTCTACCATTGAACTACACCTCCACCCATTTTCTTTTCTTTTTTTTTTTTTTACTTTGAGAAGTAATTTTTTTTTTTTTTTTTTGTCTTTTTGAGGCAGGGTCTCACTATGCAGTTCAGGCTGGCCTTGAGCTCACTTTGTAGCCCAGGCTGGTCTTGAACTCCTGAGGATCCTCCTGCCTCAGCCTCCTGAGTGCTGGGATTACAGGCGTGCACCACCACGCCCAGCTTGAGAAGTAATTTTAATAGAACAAATATAATGGAAACTTGTATTAAAGGTCTGACTGGTTTAGAAGTCCATCAGTTCCCAGTCCTTTTTCTGAGACAAGGTGTCTCACTGAGTTATCAAGGCTGTACCTTAACCTGAGATCTTTCTGTCTCAGCCTCCTCAGTAGCTAGCTGGAGAACTATAGGTGTGTGTTGCTGTGTCTGGCCTTTTTTTTTTTTTTTCTTTAAAGCGGAATAGGGTCTCACCTCCCAAGCTGGCCTCCGACTTCTGAGCTCAAGTGATCGTCTCGCCTCAGGTAACTGGGACTGTAGATGTGTACCCATGTGTACCTGGCTGTTTACTTAGCCATGGAACCCAGGGCTTTGTACATGCTAGGCAGACAACAAGCATTTCATCACTGAGTGACATCCCCCAGCCCCACAATAATTTTAATTATGTGCACTTGGGTTTTATGCAAAGAGAGGTAACACTTCCTTGTAGTTACTAGAAGATGCTATAGATGGTGGCATTGGCCTTGGCCTTAAAGAACAGAAAATATTTGAGTACAAAGAAGAGGAAAAGCCTCTGGGTTCATACCTATCATGAGAAATGTTTGCTAGGAAGAGAAAAATCAGAGAGGGCGAAGTGGTGGTCATCTGTGAATGTGTCATGATCGATAGTTGTTTTTTTGGGGGGGGTTTTTTTTTTTCCTGGTACCTGGAATCAAACTCAGGACCTTGTGCTTGCCAGGGAGGCGCTTATCCCACTGAGCTATATCCCCAGCCCCGTGATGGATAGTACTGAACTCCAGTGTCACTCCAAAAGACAGAAATAGGTTTTGTCTACATGCTCCTCCCTCAAAGGTAGGGAGATTTCCGTTTGGATGAGAGAACTTTCAGTGTTAGTGTTCGGTGTTGAGGATGGAACCCAGGGCCTACATTTCCTGAGTTTGCAGTTTCATAATTTCTTGAGATGAGTTTATCAAGTCTCTTAAAGGAACCTCTCCAGGGATATAGCTCAGTGGCACAGCAGCTGCCTGGCAAGTGTGAGGTCATGAGTTTGATTCCCAGTACCAAAAAAAAAAAAAAAAAGCTAAGAAAGGAACCCTGTGTGCACAATTATATAAGTTTGGGGTCAGCCATGCCCACCTAGGAGACTTAAACCAAAAGGTGACCAGGTAGATCTCATTAACATATCTGTGCATTGTGGTTTTTGACTCCTTCCTCGGGAAACACCAAGACAACATTAGACCAAAAACTCACCTTCATATAGATGGGCGGAGTTCCGCTGCCAGAGAAAGCCCCTGTTAGGTACAACCCTCCCTCTCACCCCAGAGTTCTACAAATTTACAAAGAAAGCCCACTCTGGCCCTCCAGGCAGTTGCTCACTCTGGCTCTACTCACTCTGCCTTTCTGAAAATGTACTACCCTTAATAAATCACTTTGCTTAGAAAGTACTATCCTTGTCACCCAGTAGAGTTGCTTGCTGACTGTTCTCTTGCTGTGACCCTCCTTGGAAATCTTGGGGAAGACCCAAGGACTGCAACACCAGACACAAGGCAGATCACAGCCACCGCAACCAAAATTCCAGTAACGGAAATACATGTTAGAACTATTTTTGTTTTTGTCTCTAACGGGAATGATACCTCATTTTTAAAACTAGCACTTCCTTACACTTGGGGCAGTTTTTCATACTCTTTTGGTCATCTGGATTTGTTTTTCAAATTTAATGTTTATTTTCCCTGTATAATTGTATTCTTTCTTTCTCTCTTGCTTTTTCCCTTTCTTTCTTTCTCTCTCTCAGCCGGGTGTGGTGGTGCATGCCTGTAATCCCAGCACTTGGGAGGCTGAGGCAGGAGGATCTTGCAAGTTCAAGACCAGCCTAGGCTACAAAGTGAGCTCAAGGCCAGCCTGAACTGCATAGTGAGACCCTGTCTCAAAAAGACAAAAAAAAATCTCTTTCTCCTTCCCTCTGTTCCTCTCTCCTTCTCTCCCTCCCCCTCTCTCTGTCTGTCTCTCTCTCTTTCTTTCTTAACAGGGTCTTGCTGGATAGTCCAGGCTGGTCTCGAACTCACCTTCCTCCTCCTGCCTTGGCCTCTGGAGTGCTGGACTTACGGACATGCACCAACACACTGACTATTATTTTTTTGTCTTAGGTTTTCAGTCTTGGTTAGGAAGTCTTCCCTAGAAGTCTAGATAACTAGATGTATATAATACAAGGGTTGAGACTTTCTCAACAATATTTTTTTTGGGGGGGGGTCCTTTTGAGACAAGGTCTCTCTCTGCAGTTCAGGCTGTCCTTGAGCTCACCTTGTTGCCCAGGCTGGTCTCGAACTCGCAACGATCCTCCTGCCTCAGCCTCCCGAGTTCTGGGATTACAGGCATGCACCACCACGCCCAACAATAATTTAGGGGCTAGGAATTTAGCTCGGTGGTGCATTGCCTTCCTGGCAAGCATGAGGTCCTGAGTTTGATTCCCAATACCAAAAAAAAAAGTATTGTTAGTGATGTTTAAAAAAAAAATTATTTCTTATGGCTATCACCTTAGACCAGAGAGAGATGAATTTGCATAGGAATAAGAGAATCACTTGAGAAGTGTTGAGGAAAGAGCCTCCGTAGAAGATGCAATGTGTGGAAAGATGAGTTGTCTCCGCCCGGGCCTGTGAGAGGTTTCTAAAAATAGAAGGTTTCACCATAAAAGTTTGCTTTTCTCTTCCCTGGAAAGTTGTACAACCTGGCTGTTTGGGGCTTCCATTCTCCGCCCGCCACGTTTGGCTGCAGTGAGGACCTTCCACCCCCACAGCACAGCGTGCGTCCCCAGGTGGTTCAGTCCCACGCAGCCCTTTCAGCTCAGGCCTTTTCAAGGCGCCTGCGCTCCTGTTGTCCGATAGTACAGTTAAGAGGGATGCCTGGTCGTCCTCAACACTGATGACACAAAATGGGACTGAACAGATCGCTGAGATATCAAGATAGCCGTGGGATCTGGCTTTTGTGGGTGTGTGAGTTTGTGTCCCAGCCCACGGGACTTGGGCCATGAAAGACTGAGGAGCCCTGGCGAAAGCTACTGATGACCTCCTGATTTCAGTCGGCAACATCTGATCCTGACACCTGATTTTGAGACTTTTCCTGGGTCTGTTCCTCTCCGAGGGTTTTATCTCTGTTATCTTTATCTCCCTCCCTCCCTCCCTCAGTTGATTATTCTCAAACTACTTAGATTCCCTGAGAGGATCCCAAACACTTCCTTGGTTGTAACTACCACCTGAGGACTTCTCAGTGGTAAGATCTGACCTGGACTATGGCCCGAGTCCTCAACTTCTTACTCATGGACCCAGAACTGCCTCTGAGCACGGGAACCGCCAAACCACCTTGTCCAAATGTCGCGGTCATCTCTACATGCATCTCCTCTTTACCTCCTACCCAAGGGGTAGTGCCCTGAGCCAGCACAGTGATTAGAGTGTGCTAGACTCGTCCCTCTTCCCGGCCTCCTTCCCTCCCCCGAGGGTCACCACCTTCTGGTAATTTACGTTCTGACTATGATGAAATCTGACCCCTCTGCTTTCTCCACCGCTGCCTCATTCCGTTATCTTTTAACCAGAATGTTGCAGTGGCCTTCTTCTAACTGGTCTCCCTGCCTGCAGTCTTGCCTCCAGCAAATCCATCCTCCAGTCCTGATGCCAGAGTGATCTGAAATGCAGATATGATCTTGGCACTCCCCTGCTTAAAACCCACCAACTGCAGTGGTTCTGTAGCCACAGGGTAGCCTCTGCCGTGGGTTGAAAGTAAGTCGCTACTCCTACTGCCACTGTTAGTACTACTACTATTACTAATACCAATACTAGCAATAGTAGCTAACAGTTACTGAGCTTTTTCCCTTACACTTTCAACTGGTTTATTACCTCTTTAAAACAAATCATAGGCTACTCAAAGTTCTCTGAATGGTACTGCTCTCATAGTCCCCGGGGTGAAGGAGAGGGGCGGAGTTCCAAGCAGGAGACACCAGAGAAATGTCCCCAACTTAGCATATGCCTTGGTGAGTGCCCATGCAGATTTAGCCTTGAGAGTTCTAGGGATGGGCCAGGGGTACAGCTCAGTGGCACAGCACTTGCCCGGCAAGCACTAGGCTATGAGTTCGATTCCCGGTGTACACACACACACACACACACACACACACACACACACACACACACACGATTTCTAGCGATTACTACAGTTCTTAGGAGCAAAAATTTGCTTTCACTCCTTGGAAAACATTGAGAGGGGGCTGGCTGTCCAGATCTTGAATATGCCTGCCCAGTATGTCACGTGTGGGAGCGCCTTGGGCTCCACCTGGGTGTCAGGAAAGGGAAATGAGGGACTGCTGACTGTGAGGGTTTTAGGTCTAGGCTTCTAGGACATGGGAGCAAAGATGCATGATCTGGCCCCTGCCCATCTCTGCCTCCTGCCGCTGCTTCCCTTGCACTTCGCTCTCTGCTGCTCCCACACTGTACGTGATACTAAATCATCACTCACCCTTCCTGAGGTCTCCTGTGTGCCAGGCACTGGGCACCAAACTACTCGTGGGAGGCAAGCTGTATTCTCTCCGTATCACTTCCCTACTTACTTTTTTGTTTTGATGCTGGGGATGGAGCCCAGAGCCTTGCAAATGCTAGGCCAGCACTCTGCCAGTGAGTTGCATCCGCAGCCAATGCTGTCCCCATTCTGTGGAGGGAGACAGCGAGGCTCTGAGTGGTGCTAACGCAGACAGATTGGCGGAGCATGGTTCTGACACACCCTCACCTTTGCTCACTTGCAAGGCGTTCTCTCCCCTGCCTGAAACCCACCCCTGCTCCCAGACTGGGCTCAGTGTCCCTGGGAGCCGCAGCAGTGACTGTGCCTGCTCCCAGCCTCACCCTGGAATTTGTAGGGTTGGTCCGAGCGCCCCTGGAGGTGGGTCTGGGTCTCTTGCATCTTGAGATCCCCCAGCATGTAGCGCAGTGTCTGGCCCCTGACAGACCTCTATGTTGGTTGAGTTGACTGAACTGATTTCCACATGCCGAACCTTGAGGTTACTTCCTGCTGACCAGTTTTCCCCGTCTTCCTCTCTCTGGGCACAAGGCCAGGCTATTTGATCTCTGGAGAAGGATTCTTTCCCTTCCTGCTTGGCTTCTTTCCACCTGTACGCTTTGACTCCAGGTGGAAACTTCTACCTGATCGGCTGCCTTGCCCACACTGTGGACACCTCTGCTGTCTCTAACCTCGCACTCCTCCTCCACTGGGTCCCTTATCTACGCCTCTAAATCACCTTACCTAGCTTGGTTGTTTATACGTACATTTTCTTTGTTCCGCGATCCCCACCAATAAAAACTGTTTCTTTCTCCCTGTTCCTCAAGTCCTGCTAACCATCAGCCCACGACTGGCCTTTTCTCCTCAGAAGTGTACAGTCCACAACCTGCTGTTACATTTTGCCTTGGAAGGTCCCATGCTTTTTGCCTTAAGACCCGAAGTACTTCTCCAGTCCCTAGCCTAAGTGTCCCTCCTGTGCATGGCACAGAGTGACCCTCAGGGGCCCGCCCCCAGCCACCCCGCATCCCACTGGCGCTGCCTCCCCTCACTTCCCAGTCTCCTCTGCTTCTGGCAGCTCTGGGACTCCCACCCCTGGCTTCTCCTCCATGCTGTATGGAATGAAGATTGCAAATCTGGCCTTTGTCAGCAAGACTCAGGTCAGGTTCTTCAGCCTTGACCGCTGGGCCGACGTGCAGTTGCCAGAAAAGAGGAAAATGAAGCTGGGGTCGGATATCAGCAAACACCACAAGTCACTGCTAGCCACAATCTTTTATGACAGGTGTGTGGCGCATGTGCTTGTGCACGCACGGCGGGGTGGGGGGGTGCTGTGGTAAGTGCCCACGTGGCTGGGGGAGGGGCGGGGAATTGGTCCGGGTGGGGTGGGTTTTCCGAGCAGAGCTGGTACCTTGCCAGCCTCTCGACCTTGAAACTTTCCAAGGGCAACCTGCAGTCCAGGCCCTCTGTCCCTGCCACCCCTTGACTCCTGCTCTCTTCAGGGCTCAGTATCTTCACGGGAAGCATGGGGTGGATGTGGAAGTTCAGGGGCCCCATGAAACCCAAGATGGGCAGCTCCTTATCCGCCTGGATTTGAACCACAAGGAGGTGCTGACCTTGAGGCTCCGGAATGGAGGAACCAAGCCTGTTACCCTCACGCATCTCTTCCCACTGTGCTGGACCCCCCAGTTTGCCTTCTACAATGACCAGGAACTGCCGTGCCCACTGGACCCTGGTGAGTGGTTTCCAAAGGAAAGACCCCTTAGTGGGCAGGAAACTTGCCCTGGGCAGGCCCGGGCTTGGGAAAGCGCCCTGTTGCTGTCCAGGGGGTCCTGCCCTGGCGTGGGGAAGTGTCTGGGGTCCCCACCCCACCTCCAGTCACTCAGCCGTCGTCCTCCAGGTGAATGCTACGAGCTCCACGTCCACTGTAAGACCAACTTTGTGGGCTACTTCCCAGCCACAGTGCTGTGGGAGCTGCTGGGCCCAGGAGAGTCGGATTCAGAAGGTGCGGGCACTTTCTACATTGCCCGCTTCCTGGCCGCCGTGGCGCACAGCCCGCTGGCTACACAGCTGAAGCCTACAGCTCCCTTCAAGCGCACCCAGATCTCTAGAAACTCAATGGCGACCAACCGGATAGAGGAAGGGGAGAGACCTGACCGGTAACTGTTCCTCCAACCCCACTCCAGGCTGAACACCTCCTGCCCAGGACGGTGGGGCCTCGGGTAGACCCCAGAGCCCGGAGCCAGAGCGCCTCTCCTGCCTGAGAGTTCGCCCTCCTCTGGGTCTCAGACACCTTTCCTGTGTAGGGAGCAGGTTGTAGGAGAGCGGCAGATCTGAGGAGCGTATGAAAGATTTCTAAATTTTCTCTTTTAGTATTTTTGCTGTGTGATGATCAGGCAGCCCATTATAAACATCTCTCCCTGGATCGATTGATTGATCGATTGATTGTGCTTCTAGGTTTAGAACCTAGGGCCTCATCTATGGTGGGCAAGTTCCCTACCTCTGAGCTAAATCCCCAATCCTTTTTTATTTTATTTTATTTTATTTTTTTTTTATTTATTTAATTTGTTTTGTTTTGTTTTTTCCGGTACCGGGAATCGAACTCATGACCTTGCGCTTGCCAGGCAGGCGCTGTGCCACTGAGCTACACAGTCCCTATTTATTTATCTCAAAAATAAATATGTTATGTAGCTCAGGCTATCCTTGAACTCAGCTGTGTAGTCCAGGCTGGCCTTGAACTTGTGGCAATTCTTCTGCTTCAGCCTTCCGGGTGCTGGGATTACAGGCATGCACCACCATGCCTGGCTCCCAACGCTTTTTAAATTTCATTTTTCTCTGGCAAGCACAAGGTCGTGAGTTTGATTCCTGGTACCAGAAGAAAAACAAAAAAATAAACAACAAAAAAAAAACGTAAATAAATTTCATTTTCAGGCAGGTTCTCACTAAGTTGCCCAGGCTGACCTTGAATTTGAGATCTTCCTACCTCAGCCTCCCATGTAGCTGCCAATTATAGACATGTGCCTTTGCGCCTAGATTCTTTTTTAATTAAAAATTTTTAGTGTTGCTAAGGATAGAACCATGGCTTCATGAGTGCAAAGCATATCCTTTACCACTGAGCTATATTGCCAGCCCATTCTCTCTTTTTAAGCAGCATTATTGAAATAACTCACCATACAGTTAACTCATTTTACAAATGCAGCCTGGCATGGTAGTGCACGCCTGTAATCCCAACACTCGGGAGGTTTAGGCAGGAGGATCATTGCTAGTTCGAGACCAGCCTGGGCTGCAAAGTGAGCTCAAGGCCAGCCTGAACTGCATAGCGAGACCCTGTCCCAAAAAGACAAAAAACAACAACAACAACAAAAAAAAATGCAGTTCAGTGGTTGTTAATGTAATCACAGATATTTATAACTATCATCACAGTCAGTTTTAGAACATTTCATTATCCCCAAAAAAGAGACCCTTCACCTATCACCTTTCATACCCCACCCTCACCCCCATCCCTAGGCATCCATTCATCAGGTTTCCATCTCTGGATTTCCCTGTCCCAGAGACTCCATGTGAATAGACTCCTGTGTGTACATAATATAAAACATGCAGGAGAAACAGTTTATGACGTGGCAAGAAGGAGGCACGGAGCAGCAAGCCTGTCTCCCTTCTTTTCCCCTTCTAGTCCATCCAGGCTGTGAGGTTACTGATTGGTGCCACCTGCACCCAGATCCATGCTAGTCCCATTTAGTTACAAGCCTTTAATCCCTGGATCGCACACCCGTGATCCAGCCACCTCTCAAGAGCCCCACCTATGAGCTCATGAGACTTTGGGGAACATCCAGATACAAACCGTAACAGCATATGATCAGACCCTCACGGTGAGACCAGCATGCTCTTTTTTTTGTTAACAATACATATGTATAAAAAGTACAAACTTGGGGATGGTGGCACACACCTGGAAACCCAGGCTGAGGCAGGATTCTGAGAGTTTGTGGCCAGCCTGGGCTACATAATGAGTTCAAGGGCAGCCTGAGATCCTGTCTCAAAAAAAAAAAAGACAATTTGGAAAAAAGTCTGGAAGGCTATATATCAAAAAATTAGCAGTTGTCTTTGATGCTAAGAATGTAATATATTTATTTATAACCTATTACCTGAGTTTTCCTTTTAGTGAACAAGTATTTCCTACATAATATTTCTTGAACATTGCCAAGTACCAGGCTTTCCACAAAGAAGAATGGTCCAGGCTTGGAAACAGAAGCTGCATGAATTAATGAGCTCCATACCTGTAGACGGAGGCTGCCTGCCACCTTTCCGCAGTCATATTATAGAAGGCCTCATGTATCCTGCACCGAGGGTCATTCCCAGAGTCTGAAGTGACAGGTTTCCGGGTTTGTGATTGCTTTTCCTCTCCTACCCAGGGCTAAGGACTATGACCTGGAGCTAAGTATGCCACTGGGGTCCTACCACCCACCACACCGCCTCAGGCAGCTGCTCCCCATCCTTCTTCAGAGAACAAATACCTTCACTGCCCCAAAGGAGATTGCCGAGATCAAGTATGTGCCACCCCTCTGCACCCCGCGCTCTTCCCTGTCCTGGATCTCTTCCTGTTGCTGGTGTTTGTGTCCTCAGCCTCCCAGGCTGTTCCTTCATTCCCTCACTGAGCATGCTCTGTGCTAGGTACTGTTCGAGGTGGACCAGTCCAACAAGGGCCTTGCCCACTCTCGGGAGGACAGGGATTCACGCACTTAAAATCTCTTTCTCCCTCTCTCCTTTCTCCTTCCCTACCTGTTTTCCTCTCCTCTCTTTCTCTCTCCTTTCTCTCTTTCTGCCTTCCTCCTCACCTCTTCTCCCTTCCCCCTTTCTTTCTGCACTGCTAGGTATCGAACCCAGGATCTTGGACATTCTAGGCAAGTGCTGTACTCTATAATTTCTTAGAAACTTTATTTTATAATTTCATGTAGTGACGAGTGCTAGAGAGAACTAAACAAATCTAAATAAACTAAAACTAAAGCAGAGTAAGGGGCTGAGTAGTTCTAACCTGTCTGAGAAGGGGACATCTGAATGGAGGACCATTTGGGTGAGGTGAGGGTGTGGGTCATGGAGGATCAGAGGGAGAAGGTTCTGGCTGTTAGGATCCACAGAGCAAATGTCGAGTCACTCCTCAGGTAGGGGCAGGGATATTCAAGGAAGCAAGAGCCAGCGCTCCCTTCCTTGAGGCCTCTTCTCTACCCTCCTGGTCTTCCCTGCTTCCTTATGCCTTCATAGTTCCAGGACTTCAGAGGGGAGAGGGGGAGGTGCTCCCAGGCACAGGGGTTGCCTGAGCCAACCTCTTCCTGCCCCGCCCACCCCACTCCCCAACCATCCCTGCCAGGGCCAAGCTGGAGACGAACCTGAAGTGGAAGAACTATGAGGTGAAGTTCCGGCTGCTGCTGCACCTGGAGGAGCTACAGATGGAGCATGACATCCGGCACTATGACCTGGAGTCCGTGCCCATGACCTGGGACCCCGTTGCCTGGAATCCCAGGCTGCTCACACTGCAGGTCAGGGCTTAGATCTGGTGTGGGGGTGGGGCAGGGAGTGGAGGTGGGGCTCAAGTCAGCCCGCTGGTAGGTTGGCAGGACGCTTGCTTACTGTAGGGAAAACGTAGAAAAAGATGAAGTGGTTCCTGTCCCAGAGGGTTCAACAAGGAATGTATGTCTTGTGCCCTAAAAGTGGTGGCAGGGTAGGGGGTTGGGGTTTTAATCCAGGCCTTGCTACCTCCAGTTATGTGGCCTTGGGTAAGACACTTGCTCCCCGCATCCCACCCTGACCCCTAGATCGGCGATTTAAGTCCAGGGCCTTCACACTAAGCTACTAAGTTTTTATTTTGAGACTGGGTCTTATCAAGTTGCTAAGTTCCCCAGGCTGGGCTCAAACTTTCCATCTTCCTGCTCAGCCTCTCAGAGTGCTCGTATTACAGACTTGCGCTGCCACACCCAGTGAAACACTGTCTCTCAGTCCGAAGTTCCTTATCTGAAAAGCACAGAGGTGAAAGGATAATTCTTCAAGCGCTTTTGAGCTCTCAGATTCTGAATGTGTACACCTAAGGCCAGAGTTACCCACAAGAAGATACTTCACACAAGTACAGGTGGGGAGGAAGAGAACAGGGGCAATCACAGGAAGTGAGGTTTTTTGGTTTTTGGTTTTTTTTAGGAAGTGAGCTTTGAACAAGATTTTAAAGTCAGTAGGACTGCAGTGAGCAAGAGGGCAGCTGGATGGGCTGGGATGCTGACTTCTAGGTCCTGAAATCCTGCCTTGCGTGTTTTGGATTCCTGGGCTCAGCGCACCTGAGCAGCTTAGGGAGACTTGCCTCCTTCCTCTTTCCTTGACTCTAGCCCTGTTTGGGGGAGAGAAAAGAGGGATGCAAGGAGGCGTAACTCCCCAAATCTTGGGTTGGAGGGCCAGAACCTCAGTCCTCAGAGGTCCGGAGAGGCTGGGATAGGAGCCTGCTCCTGCGCACGCCCTGCAGGTTCCCGGCGTGGCTGAGAGCCGCCCCTCAGTGCTTCGGGGTGACCACCTGTTCGCCGTTTTGTCCTCTGAGGCGCACCAGCAGAGCCCCGTCACCTACAAGGGCTTTGTGCACAAGGTGGAGCTGGACAGTGTCAAGCTGAGCTTCCCCACAAGGTAGGTGTCGGGGAACCCTGAGCTGCTAGAATGGCCTCAGCTGTCCCAGGCCCGGGGAGTGGAGGTGTTTCTTCTCAGTGACAGCCCAGGCACAGAGCAGGAAGCTTTTCTTCAGGGGGCCCCGGGCTGTCAGAGCAGCTTTCCTCTCCTAGCGAGCTTTGTGCAGAGGTATTGGAAAGATGCACTGGAGTAGAGCGGAGGGAGATGGTCCGAGATGTATTGCCCCACACGCCTAACCAGAGGTTTTCCACCTCTCCGCCTGCCAAAAGCCTCCTGAACCGCTTTGTGGATGGACTGACCTTCAAGGTGAACTTCACCTTCAACCGCCAGCCTTTGCGGGTCCAGCACCGAGCCCTGGAGCTGACAGGGCGCTGGCCACTGGGGCCCCTGCTCTTTCCCGTGGCCTCTCGTGGAGTCCCTCTGCTGCCCTCAGATATGAAGCTCAAGTGAGACTGGGCGGGTCTCTGGGGCTCCTGGGTATGGGAGTAGGGGATGGAGTAACCGAAGCCTCTGAGATGCTGGATGACTTGAAGTTTGGATTCCCGGCCCCTCTGCCAGGCTGTTTGACCGGAGTCTGGAGTCGAACCCAGAGCAGCTGCAGGCCATGAAGCACATTGTTATGGGTACCACCCGTCCCGCCCCCTACATCATCTTTGGGCCTCCAGGCACTGGCAAGACCGTCACGTTAGTGGAGGCCATTAAGCAGGTGAGGCCTACGTGTAAACCTGGCCCCTACACTCTGACTCTCCAGCACTGAGCACTTGTCCCCAAGTTCTGATGCCCTTCAGGTCCCTGAATGTTCTGAGCAGCCATTAAAAGAGGAAGTGGTGAGCTAGGGTCAGTGTTGAGCGCAGCTGTGCAGGTTGGACACTGCATGACTCTTGGAATCACCATTTACATTTCAGTCATCATAGACTTGTACTGCAGCAGTTATCCAGCAGGGGTGGGGAATCAGAACTTGCTTGTACGTCACTGCCTCCATCCGCTGTGGGAGGCAGATGCTGCACTGACCCAGGCCGAGTCACTGCACAGTCAGGAAGCTGCCTCCCACACCGTACTTCTCTGCGCCTCAGGTGGTGAAGCACTTGCCCCAAGCCCACATCCTGGCCTGTGCTCCATCCAACTCGGGGGCTGACCTTCTCTGCCAGCGGCTGCGTGTCCACCTGCCCAGCTCCATCTACCGCCTCCTGGCCCCCAGCAGGGACATCCGCGTGGTGCCGGAGGACATTAAGGTACAGTGCAGAAGGAGTGGTGGAGGCGCAGGGAGCTGCTGGGGTAGAAGCGGGCTGGGAACGTAGGAGCCCTGGTTACTTCCTGTGTGACCTCGGGTGGGTCAGGACCCCTCTCCGGGTCTCAGTCTCCTTGTCTGTAAAGTGAGAGGGGTGGCTAAAGTATTTTTGGTGGCCCAGAGCCAGAGCAGTGCTCAGAATGGGTGCCCCAAGCTGACCCTCCTCCCTTGGCAACTCACAGCCCTGCTGTAATTGGGATGCCCAGAAGGGGGAGTATGTGTTTCCCGCCAAGAAGCAGCTGCAGGAGTATCGCGTCTTAATCACCACCCTCATCACTGCCAGCAGGTGGGCAGTGTGTGCCAGTTTCTGGATTGTTAGTGTAGGTGAAGGGGTGCGGGCTGGGGAGGTGGGGAAGGGCTTCTGCGGGGTGCACTGAGGGGCCAGTGTGGGTAAGCACTCGGGTTTGGTAGCTGGGAGCCTCGGTGTGACTGTTGCCCGGCCTGACACCTCCCAGGTTGGTGTCGGCCGAATTTCCCACCGATCACTTCACACACATCTTCATTGATGAGGCTGGCCACTGCATGGAGCCCGAGAGCCTGGTGGCCATCGCAGGTGAGGGGGTCAGACGGGTTGAGGCCCACTGCACTCCTGAGGCTTTGCGAGGTCCCACCACCAGCCTTTTCCCCCACACCGCCCTGCCTCCCAGGACTGATGGAAGTCAAGGAGACCGGCAACCCAGGAGGGCAGCTGGTGCTGGCGGGAGATCCTCGACAGCTGGGCCCTGTGCTGCGTTCTCCACTGACGCAGAAGCATGGGCTGGGGTACTCACTGCTGGAGCGGCTGCTCACCTACAACCCTCTGTATAAGAAGGGCCCCACCGGCTATAACCCCCAGTTCATAACCAAGCTGCTGCGCAACTACAGGTACTCCTGGGGCCTCACTTCTGCTGCTGCCCATGCCTGCACAGCTCCTGGGTAGCCCCGGCCGCAGGATGTGCTCTGCATGCCCGTTGCGTAGAGGCTGTGATGCAGAAAGACTATAAGGCGGGAGGTCAGAGGTCTCCTTTCTAGCCCCATCTCTGCTGCTTGTCTGTGTGACTTCGCAAGTGCCTTCATGCTTGGACTAGTTTTTTTGGCTTTCTGTCCACTGGGGGTGGTTGGATACTAGGATGTGTCTGGTGTGGGTCTCAAATAAAATTTCCAGACAATCCAAGGAAGAATGAGAAAAATAGGGGAATAGTTTTTGTTTTTAGATGGAGTCTCTGTATGTAGCCCAGACTGGTCTTAGACTCCTGGGCTCCCGTGATCTTCCTGTCTCAGCCCCCCAAGTAACTGATACTACAAGGTATGTCCTGGCTTATATACTTCTTCTACTAAATGACTTCGGACATCAGGAATCCTTAGATGAATATCAGGCTATCACTAAGTGTTTAGTAAGTGTCAGTTATTATTTCATTGCTTCTCGTCTTTTTGGATTTGTGTGTGTGTGTGTGCGCTTTGTCTTTTTAAGATAGGATCTCACTATGAAGTTTAGACTGGCCTTCAACTCACTTTGTAGCCCAGGCTGGTGTCTAACTCACAGTGATCCTCCTGCCTCAGCTTCCTGAGTGCTGGGATTACAGGCTACAGGTGTGCACCATCACACCCAGCAACATCTTTTTGGATTTAACATATCAGATAAGTGAGAGATGATAATTTGTTTTTGGATTGTCCTAAGAATGGATTCCTAATTTCTTGGTTTTTAAAAGTAATTTGGACCCAGGTCTGGTGGCTCACAAATAATACTAGAGCTTGGAAGGCTAAGGCAGGAGGATCTAGAGTTCGGGGACAGCCTGGGCTACATGGCAAATTCAAGACCAGTCTGGACTACATGGCAGGTATGGTGGTACATGCCTGTTGTCCCAGTGTTAGGGAGGCTGAGACAGGAGGATAGAGTTCGAGGCCAACTGGAATACACAGTGAGGTCAAGCCAGCCTGAACTACCTAGACCCTGCCTCAAAAGAATAAAAAAATAGCCGGGCATGGTGACACACGCCTGTAATCCCAGCACTTGGGAGGCTAAGGCAGGAGGATCCTTGCAAGTTCAGCACCAGCCTGAACTGCATAGTGAGACCCTGTCTCAAAATGACAAAAATAAAATAAAATAAAATAAAACAAAACAAGCAAAAAAGAGGTAAGAGGATCACAAGTTCAAGTCCAGCCTGAGCAATTTAGTGAAACTTTGTCTCAAAAAATTTCTATAAACAGTGGGGAAGACTGGGTATCCTGGCACATTCCTGTAATCCCAGCACTCAGGAGGCTAAGACAAGAGGCTTGCTACAAGTTCAAGGCCAGCCTAGGCTACAAAGCAAGTTCAAGCCCAACCTGAACTGCATAGCAAAACCCTGTCTCAAAAAGGCAAAATAAATAACTAAAATAAAATGGTAGGGGATAGCACTCAGTGTGAGGGCTCAGAGTTCAGTCCCCAGTACCACAGATATTTTTTTTAAGTGCCCAGTACCACAAATATAAGTTAGTAAATAAAGTAAGTTGGCTGGTCCATGAAATCCAGCTCTGTGGAACCACATTTGATTCAGCTTTGTGTGGTCGCAGGGCCTGGCAGCAGACGCTGTCGCTGAGTGCTTTGCTGTGCAGGGAGCAGGAGTGCAGCAGGACAGTGTGCATGGCTCCAGGACTGGGATGCCCTGGCGCAGAACAAGCAGCTCAGTCCTGGGCTTGCTTTTCCTCCTCCTGCCTCCTAGGTCTCATCCCACCATCCTGGACATTCCTAACCAGCTCTATTACGATGGTGAGCTGCAGGCCTGTGCGGACGTGGTGGACCGAGAACGATTCTGCCGCTGGGAAGGTCTGCCTCAAAAGGTGAGGCTGTGCCTCCACAGGTAAGGCTGAGCCCTCGGGGCTAGGCTCAGGCCTCAGCCCTGAATCCCAGCTTCCCTCCTCACTGAAGGTGCGGGGCAGGAGGAGGCTGAGTGGATGCTGTGGGTCCCTCCCTTGTCACCTGGGCCTAAGCCTTATTTCCTGGAAGGGTTTGGAGGTGGGGGGCAGGTAGGGAGGTCTGGCTGAGGGTTTCCTCTGACCCTGTGCCCAGGGCTTTCCCATCATCTTTCACGGCGTAATGGGCAAAGATGAGCGTGAGGGCAATAGCCCGTCCTTCTTCAACCCTGAAGAGGCTGCCACGGTGACTTCCTACCTGAAGCTGCTCCTGGCGCCTTCCTCCAAGAAGGGCAAGGCGCGCCTGAGCCCCCGAAGTGTGGGCGTCATCTCCCCATACCGGAAGCAGGTCAGGCTAGTGTGGGACACCCCACCCCGCCCCACAGTGCTTCCCTAATAACCAGGCCAGTAGGCAGAGCCTCCGGGCCCCTCAGCTTGTGCTGGCCCTGGATCTCTAAGGATCTCCAAAGATCGAAGCTGTCCCTTCCCTCTTTGCCCCTAGTTTCCTGATCTCTTGCCTTGTTCCCTCTTGCCTCGGGGTGATGGCTTGAGAGAAAGGCACCTTTCCCTTCCTCCAGGTGGAAAAAATCCGTTATTGCATCACTAAACTTGACAAGGAGCTGCGGGGCCTGGATGACATCAAGGACTTGAAGGTGACACACCGCTCCACATTCACTCCCTGCCTTCCGCGTACCCCTCTCCGCCCCATTTCCAGCGACCTCAGCTTCTGTGCTGCTGCTCCAGTCCGACCCATGTCTCTGTCCCATCTCTGCTGCCTCGGGACAGAACTGGGGCTCTCCCCAAGCCTCTCTCTCCTAGATATCAAAACTTCTATGTCTGGGATGGGATTGGAAGCCTGTGTGTTTAACAAGCACCCTCATCATGTTATTCTTGTGATCTCACAGGTTTGAGGCCTCTGCCCTGAGGGTGAAGTCCAAATTCCATGGCCTGTCTCCACCTGTGATATTGTCCCCCCACCCTGCAGTAGCTGGCTGCTTTCTCTCCCTGGGGTGATGTTTGCGACACCGGATGCAGCTAAAAACCACCTGGATTACTTTTAATACTGCCAGTGCCAGGGCCCCACCCAGCCGGTTAACACGGCTATCAGGGGACCAAGCCAGGGCACTGGTATTTTCTACAGCTCCTGGAGTGATTCTGCTTTGCAGCCAGGGCTGGGGATCTAGCTCAGTGGCACAGTGCCTACCTGGCAAACACAAGGTCCTGAGTTCGATTCTGGGTACCCCCCCGCCGTACCTCCCCAAAAATTGTTTGCTGATTTGCAACAAGAGTTGAAAACTGTTGTACAGTTTAGAGCCCTCTGCCTTGGAAATTCTGATCAGGTCTGGGTTAGGGCTCAGGGCTGTATATAGTCTTAACAAGTTTCACAAGCCTTACTTTGAGTTGCCACGTTCTCTGCAATGCTGTCTGAAAAGTGGCTTCATCCTTAAGCTTTCCACCTCCACTGCAGCCACCTGTCCTCTCCTGGCACCCACTCTGCTGGTCTCCAGTGCCGAGTAACTTCTCTGTACCCTCCTTGCAGCTCAAGTTCCCTGGGGCAACACTTGGCCCTGTGGTTCGCCCCCCCAACACCTTGTATACATCTGTTCTCAGGTCTTGCCTCTCTCTGCTCTAGGTGGGCTCCGTGGAAGAATTTCAAGGCCAAGAACGCAGCATCATTCTCATCTCCACCGTGCGAAGCAGCCAGAGCTTTGTGCAGCTGGATCTGGACTTTAATCTGGGTTTCCTTAAGAACCCCAAGGTCTGAGGGCTGATGGGTAGCAGGAGCTCTTCCGTCCTCCTCAGGCCTTTCCCTTGTGTGACCCTGCCCTTCTTCTTCCAGAGGTTCAACGTGGCTGTGACCCGGGCCAAAGCCTTGCTCATCGTAGTGGGCAACCCCCTCCTCCTGGGCCATGACCCTGACTGGAAAGCGTGAGCATTCCCACCCCCAAAACCACAAAACACCCCCAGAACCGCAAGCCCCAGCCTAGCACACACACAGCTTTATTAAGCAGCGTCTTACGGTGCAGTTCATCCTTAGATGGGTCATCTTCACCACACCCCCGCCATGTCCGTGAGTGATTGACATTCTGAAATTGAACAACCATGGCTCAGAGGTGGCAGGACTGAGGCTGGGCCTCCAGGCTCCACTCTAACTCTTCTGCCAGGCCCACACAGCTCCATGTGCGCCAATGCCCTTGTACCCCACAGATTCCTGGAGTTCTGTAAGGAAAATGGGGGGTACACTGGGTGCCCTTTTCCTGCCGAACTGGACCTGCAGCAGGGACACAATTTACTCCAAAGTCTGAGCAAGCTCAGCTCTTCTACCTCAGGTACGGTTGAACAAGGGTGGGCCAGGTGGGAACAGTGCCAGGAGGTGTAAAGAAAACAGAGCACACTTCTTTCTGCCAGGGGCCTGTGGTCGAGACTGCCTCCCCCATGAGCAGGCCAGCGAAGGGTGCCTGTCTGTGCAAGTGGAGCCGGAGTGGAGGAACGAGCTCTGAAGACACGGCTGCCCACCCTCTCACACCGTCCGAGCCTTAACCCCCTGCTGCCTGACCCTGAACCAGAACCCGGCTAAGCTGTCCCTCCCAGGGATGGGGAAGGCTGGGGGACAGAGTTTACAACCAAGCCATTCCACCCTTTCTCCTGCTGTGGAGAAGAAAGCTGCTAATGATTGGGGGAGGGGAGAGGAAGAAAAACTGAAAACAAAACCTTGTTCTATACAAAAGCCTCTTGCTCATCTCCTCAGCTTGGCCCCAGCTTCCTGCACACCCAAACTGACCTTGCAGGAGGGTGAGACTCACACCCGGCCCTGGACCACACCCCCTGGAAGCCCAGAGGAGGAAACCCAGTGGGCTGGAGAGCCACCCACAGGTTTCTAAGTTTAGCCCCGGCTGCAGACCACTCCCCTCACCCGCCTCCTAGGCCTAGAGCCAGGCATGACCTCATTCTTAGCTCTGAAACTCCACCCTACCCTGTAGTCTGGCCTCTGCAGACTGGGGGACCAGCCTGGCAAAAACTTGGGAATGTAAAGAGAGATGAGACTCCAGACTTGCAGCCAAGACAGGGACGAGGAAAGAAAGACAGGAAGCTGCCACACACGTTGGAACCTGCAACTTTTATTCATGCCCCCAGCCAAGTGAAAGCACAGAGGCCCCTGCCCAGAGCAGAAACCCCAGTCCCCTACCCTCGACCTCCTGCGAGCCAGAAGTATATAAAGTGCTGGTGTGTGACTGTTCTCTGGGGAAGGCCAAAGGGAGCAGGTGCCCCACCCCTGGGCCAAGGCTGCAGGGGCAGGGCCTCTGCTCAGGAAGGACAGGGCACCGGCCTGGGCCTGGTTGCCAGGGAGAGGGAGGAAGGGAGGGCCCACCACCACCTCCTCGGGTGAGGAAACTCAATGCAGTCCTGGGCAGGAGGGAACTGAGAAGAGTGCCTTCAGCACGGCCTGCTAAGGGTGCAGTTCGGGTGGGTGGGTTACTCGTACACCCTTGTGAAGGAAGCGGGGCAAACCAGGGAGGTGAGGGGGACCTCAGAGAATGGGGCAGCCCCTCCGGCGCTTATTCTTGCGGACCTGGAGGCCGGCCCGAGTAGCCATCTCGAACACCTCCCGAACCCCCTCCTTAGTCTTGGCTGAGCACTCGAGGTAGCCAAAGGCACTGATCCGATTCGCCATGTCCCGACCTTCCTCAGATCGAACAGGCTCCTAAGACAGAAGACAAAAGGTTAGAGGCACCTCACCAGGACACCCCTAAGTGCAGAAACTCCTGCCCGAACCCACAAAGAACCCAGACCCTCAGCCACTGCAGGCAGGGATCTAAATGCATGTTTGCGTTGGAAATTCTCCCTAGTCTATGCCTTGCTCACTACCTGCTACGGCACACACTTCTCACTTGTGAATGACTTCCAACTCCTAACTGACCTCCCTACCTCATTCTTCCAGTCTAGCTACCAGGATATTTTTTTCTAACTTGCAGACCTGAGATGTGCCCCCAGCTAAAAATCTCACCATAACTATCCTTCCAGGATAGTCTCCCTTCCACACCCTGGCAGCTTCCGTAGTAAACTAGACCTCTGGCTGCAGAGCCACTCAGCAAGGCCTTGAGTGGGGCCCTCGGGGCTGCCTCCCAGGCACTGACAAAGCACAGGCTCACACCCCACAGTGCATACCACAAGGGAGACTTGAGCTGTCTCTCTCAGGACAAGGACCTTCTTACTCATTTTAGTAGTCCCAAGAATGAAGGGAAATCCCAAGTGACCTTGGACAAGTCACTTCATGGTCTGATCATTACATCAGGCCCTGGGGGCCCATCTGGTTCTTAACCAGATGAGAGTAGGAGGTAGATGTCACCGTCACCTCTGACCCCAGCAGCTGCCTGGAGAGAAGCTTCCTTTCTCCTAGTGTGCGACCCTCAGGGCACCCCCCTGCGGGCTCCCCTGTGGGCAGCCGTGCCCACCTGCTTCATCTTGGCCAGCTCTCTCCGGGTGTGCTCGTCTTGCCTCAGGTCCTTCTTATTCCCCACTAGGATGATGGGAACGTTAGGGCAGAAGTGCTTCACCTCCGGGGTCCATTTCTCTGGAATGTTTTCTGCACAGACAATTCCCAACGGGTATCAGTACCTCCATTTACAGGAGGGGACCCCCATCTTCCCACGGCAGTCTCAGGCTATTCAGGCAGATGGTCCTTTCTCTTTTTTGGTACTGGGAATCAAACTCAGGACCTTGCGCTTGCCAGGCAGGCGCTTGTGCCACTCAGCTATATCCCCGGTTCTTGGATGGTTCCTTTCGCAGCAGACCCCTCCCCAGTACATCCTCCAAAAGGCCACAGTTGCCAAAGCCAAGGAGATGAGCAGGGCCTGAGTGTCCCTGGCATTCCCAGTCCCACAGCCTCAGCCTTTGAAGGTGGCTGATGGGAGGGGTCTCCATCCCTCCCACCAATGCCCTCACCCAGGCTGTCCGGGCTGTCGATGGAGAAGCACATGAGGATGACATCCGTGTCCGGGTAGGAGAGAGGCCGCAGACGATCATAGTCTTCCTGCCCCGCAGTGTCCCACAGAGCCAGCTCCACCTGACACACAAGGCCAGTGAGTAGCTGACGTGAAGGCCCTAACCCTGCCACTCAGAGGTCTTCTCTGAAACCACTGATGCTGTAGGGCCCCTGAGCATCCGTCTGACCACTTGCTATGTGTGAGGCATTGTCACACAACAAACTAGGTGAGTTAAAAAAAAAAAAAACCAAAATGCATTTGATCTTTGTAGAGTAGTATATAAGTTGCCATTGTGAGCACATTTTAATTTTCATATGAACACTTTTGGGGAAGTGTTCATATCACCTCCATTTTGCAGTGAGGGGAATTTAAACCCAGGAGCAAAGGGACTTGGCCCAGGCTACAGAGCCAGGATGTGGTAGAGCCAGGAGACACACTCAGGTTTTCTAAGACTACACTAGCACTTCCCAGCTTTCATAGGCTCCAGCACGGAGAGTGAAGCAAGGATGTGCACGAGTGGGAGGACATCCTGTGTCCCTGGACAATCGGGGCAGGGTTCCAAGGCAGATAGGAAGGGGTGCTTGGCCTTTACCTGCTTCCCATCCACCTCTATGTCTGCAATGTAATTCTCAAAGACCGTAGGGACGTAGACCTCTGGAAACTGATCCTTGCTGAAGACGATGAGGAGGCAGGTCTTCCCACAGGCACCATCCCCTACAATCACCAGCTTCTTTCGGATCGCAGCCATGGCTGGGGCTGGCAGAAAAAAAGCAGCGGGGATTTGAGGAAAAGCTAGCGACTCCAAAACACTTCTCTCAAGCTCCCAAAACATCCCTGGAAACCCAGCACCCAGCAGTGGAAGGGAAAAGAGGGCAGCTTGCTCAAGCATGTTCTTGCCAAGGACCAACTCGGTAGGCAGCAGACCTTGAAGTTCCTAATCTGTGGGTCAGGGACAAGTCTTTGCTGGGTTAGAACACACCAGTAGAGAAGGAAGAATAACACATTTTGGAGCTAGAACACTTGAGTTTTGATCTCTTGCACTCAATCTGGGGACCCTGGATACCTAGAAAGAGGTGCTCAGGGATGTCTCCAAAAGAGCCAGCCTCTGCCTGCTTGGCATATCAGGCATTAGGATTTTTGACACATTTAAAGTTTACTAACCACTACGGTGCATTCTAGAACAGGCTGTCCCTCAGCATGTCATGCCTGCATAGTCATAACTGAGGAGTCCCTCTCCAAGACAACGGAGTAGCAGAACCAGCTCCAGGTGGTGGGCGGGTAAGGGAAAGAATACTTGTACAGACTGAATATCCCGCACTGCGTTGGACATTTTAACAAACATTACCTTCCTCAGACTTCAGACACCTGCTGGGTTAGGGTAACTTACATTCTGGGAAACCAGGACTCAGGCTTAGACAAGTACTTGGCATCTGGCACATAGGTGGCAGGGTTCAGATCAGAACTGTATGCCTCAAGAGCCTGAACCTTTTCTGCATGTCACCCCAGCGGTAGGAAGGAGAGCAGAAGCAGGGAAACCCAGACGGAGGGAGGGGCAGCAGCCAGCCCGCTTCCCTGACCCATCCACCCAGTCTCAAAGGCTGGGAGTCACACAAAGAAGGCTCAGTCCTGGCAATGCCCACAGCTTGCGTTTGGGCAGCCCGCCTTCCTCTCTCCTTCCTCCGGGGTCTGGCAACAACACTGGGTCACTCAGCCCCTGGCAGGGGACAATAACCACACTGTAGGGAGCCACACATCCAGCCCAGCAGAGTGACTGAAAATAATCCTCTGGGCGATCACCTCCACCCACTCTCCAGGACAGCCCCCTTCTCCCTCTACCCAGCTCACTGCTGGGCCCTGCCCACCCCTCCCTGTGACTCAGGGCGAGGAGTCAGCTTCTGGGTGAGCAAGTGTCCCTCAGCCCCAGCGACAGGAACCAGCAGTGCATCACACCTTCGCAGCTTCCCTTACTTCCTCCTTCCCTGGAGGGGGAACTGACCTCCAGCTGGCAGGGATTCCCAGGCCTACAGCCTAGGAGGAAGAGGGCGCGCCCTGGAGCTGAGCTGCAGTCAAGGCTGTTGGGAAGTGGGGAGGGCTAGAGCCTGGGCGGGGAGGAGCCCCCAAAAGAAGAGACAAACGAGGCCCAGTGCTACCACCAACCAGGCCCAGAGCGGTTCAGAAGGGGACAGTAACCTGATCTCTGCCCAAAGCCTGGCTTTTTTCTTTCAGTCCCACATCCTGTCAAGCTAGGCTGAGCTCCCCTACTCCCCACAGCCACCACCTCACACCCGGGCCTCCCTGCCTGGAGGGGTGCAGAGTACTGCAGCCCCGGGCTGCTTCCCTGACAGCAGGCTCCTGGGTGGCCCTCCCTCCACACACGTTCACAAAACTGGGGTGTGGGGGAACAGGACTGGAGTCAAAGAGTTCACAGGAGTTGAGAGTACATACCGCACTCTCCCCACCACCGAGGGTCTCTCCCTCATACCCCAAAAGGCAAGCAAGAAGGCACTGCCCCTGCCAGGAATCCCCTTCAAAAGGGATACCCTGGGAAGTTCAGCCAAGTGACTGACACTAGGATTTCTTCCGACCATCAGTTCAACTGATCCAGCCGTTCCCAAGCCAGGGCGCCCCCAACCTAGGCTGGCCAGGCCTGATGGAGGGCAATCACTGCTGTGCAAAACACCAGCCACTTGGGCACGCGTACACCACCACTGTCCCCTAGCAAGGCAGCTGGCATAGGTGGTGCCAGGCAGAGGTACACAGGAAGGGACCTGGAATCCCAGCTCAGAACACTTTCCTTACTGCTCTGGTTGGGTCAAAGAACAGGCCAGGCCACTAGGCCCCAGGCCAAGATGGCACGGACAACAGCTCCCTGTAAGCAGCAGCCCCGGAGGAATTGCCCCACTGACCCGGACAGGGGCAGCCAAACCCCACGGGGAGCCTGGAATGGAGCCTGGGATTTGTAGACTCTTCTCTAAGACAAAACACTGTGGAGTCACTGGCCCTCCCCTCTAATTCTCTCCACTTTCCAGACGATCCAGGGGGGCCTGGACCCTGCTCGATCCCCTGAAGGCCAGGGAAGGAATCAGTCTCCTGCACATCATTCTTTGTCAACTTTGAAGCCAGAGGGAGGGAGGGACTCGGCCTCAGATCCCTCAGCCCAAACTCCCAGGATAATCTCTATGCTGGCTCGAGAGGAGAGAGGTCTTACACACGTACACACACACACACAGGGTCCTTTCAGGTCCCGCTACCCCAGGCAGACCCCGAGAACCTTCTAGGGCTGTGTCCAGACCCAGCCAGGCAGTGGCAGCCCCCACTGGTCACACTCCGCCCCTGTTCCCGCCATCCCACCCTCTGGGCCTGGGGGTTCCCACCCCCACCGCACTCCCGGTCCCGTCGGGGCGCCCGGGCTGGGAGCTGGAGCGTCTGGGCCGGGCCCCTCGCGGGGATCCAAGTGGTCCCCTTGCCCCGCGGGGGAGGTTCCGGGAAGCGGGGAGCGGAAGGGAAGGGGCTCAGGTCGGGGCATCAGGAGGCGAGAGGCCCTGCCAGGCAGTTCCGGGGGTCCCTGGCTACCGCCCGGAGAGGGGCCGGGCCGGCCGGACCCCCGCGCAGCGCGGACGCCGCGTCCAAGGGGAGAGAACGCGGCCCACAGCCGGGACGAAGCCCCCTCCCGGGCCGCGCGCGGGGGAGAAGGGGAAGACGCGGGAAAGCACGCTCCGGAGGCGAGTTCCAGGACGCCCCCCGCCCCGGCCCCCGGCCCGCCCGGCCCGG